AGTGACAGCTGGCTCTGCCTATCTAGAGGCAGAGCCAACTGTACTCGCCCCCTCCCCTGTCCATTCCGCCAGTCAGCCTCATAATCTGAGCCGACCTGTGGCAATTAAACCGTCACAGGTCGGCTCAGTAAATCGGGGAGTGAGCGAAACCAATACAGTCGCTCGCTCACTTCTCGATCCTGTGCCGGCAATGAAACCGTCACAGGTCGGCTCAGTAAATCGGGAATTTCAGCCACCTCCCAAAAATCTGCAATAAATTCACTAAAATCAGATTATGAGGCTGAGTGAAAATCACTCACCTCATAATTCTCCTTTAAGCAATACTTTAAAAGTAACATTGCAACATGTAACAAGAATACAAAAAGATTTTAGTGAATTTATTGCAGATTTTTGGGAGGTGGCTGAAATTATTTAGAAGAGGAACCAGACAAGAAAACTGGGTGACCAGTCCAGTATCTGTATTTATAATACTGTCCTCCCCTTTATGCTTCAGTTCTCTGAGACGGTAAGGCCCCTTTCACACGGACTGATCAGGAGGATCCATGCACAGATCCTCTTCTGATCACAGCAGTCCGAAGCGGATGTCACCGTTCTGACATCCGTGTCTGTACAGTTACCAGACCCCATGCCAGTCTATGGGGAATCTGAAGTAAACGTGCATATTTGTCCTTTGACATTAGATTACCCACGATCCGGTCCGTCAAAGTCGGAACACTGTTCTATTTGTTTTTGTGGACAAGGCAGGAGGTGGGTAACCAGGCATCAACGGACGCTCGTCTGTTTGCACACGGCTGCCCATAGACTTGCATTGGGAATCCGATGGGGTCTGCCTGAAAAATTGAGGCAGAACCCAATTGGACTGCCCATGTGAAAGAGGCCTAATAGCTGAGCTTGTTGCTGTGTGAATCAGTAACAATATATGCATATTAGTTTCCCTCACTGGTAACTCATATACAGTACATATACTCCCAATGGAAACAAAGTGGAGGCATTTGGTTTGCATACTTTTCTATTATTATTATTATTATACAGGATTTATATAGCGCCAACCATTTGTGCAGCGCTTTAGAATATAAGGAAGACATTACAATACAATTCAAGACAAGATGGTGAGGAGGGCACTGCCCGTGAGGGCTTACAATCTAAAAGGGAGGGGGAAGTGATACATGAGGAGGGCGCTGTGTGGGGGTGAATTGTTTGAGAATGTGATGGTTCAGTGGTTTGTTTTAGGTGGGATAGGCTTCCCTGAAGAGATGAGTCTTTAGGGATCACCTAAAGGCAGTCAAGGTGTTAAATAGATGGACAGGTTGGGGTAAAGAGTTCCAGAAGATGGGAGAGACTCTAGTGAAGTCCTGGAGGCGAGTATGGGAGGCGATGACATGGGAGTTGGAAAGCAGGAAGCCTACAGTGTGCTCCAATGCAGCTAGCTGTGGATACATCGGAGGCTCCAGCAGATGATTGTTTCAGCTCCGGGGTTTAGCCTTAGATCCAGAGTGTCATAGACAGTCGGAAAGTTCCAGCCGGCATGCTGGCACAACCTCACAGGAACCACTGAAACCAGCCGCCATTTTAAAATGGCACTTGGATAGCAGCTATTCGTCCCAGCTCTGTTTTTAAAACGGCATTTGAGTCTCGACTGATTAAAACCTTTTATTCCCTTTTAATACACGACATACACTGGAGGAGGTAAATAAGTGAATTTGGTTGTCCGTTGCAAAAGAAATCAAGCAGTTTTAGTTTATATCTTGTTGTGACTTTTGTTGTTTGTCTTGTTTTTCTCTTCTCTGTAAATGCTGAGATTCGGGTTTTACTTTAATTTAGTTCACAGATTGAAACTTTGTTTCGATTGTCTAGTTCCGCTCATTCCTTTTGTACAGTTGTTGCTTCCTGTGATTGCATTTGGGCCGAGCCTTTGTCTTGCCGGACGGCGCTCTATTGCTTGTACTTCGGAAAATGATTTTTTTCCGTGCTTACATCCCCAACTCCTCTTGTACCAATTTTTCTTTGCAATGATGTCGCTCTGCCTTACAAAGGAGTACAGGAGAGACTCTGGCAAATATTTACGTGTAGTTCTTTTAATATGAATCGATATAAAGAAAAAAACCTGCCTCTTGATACGTTTCCACGTTGAGGAATTAAGCAGACCAACGTGTTCTTGCTTTGGGCGGTAGCTCGGGGTTTGGTCTACAGCGGAATTCTGCAGATGCTATGGATGCAAATCCACTGACCCCTCGTTCCATACTACAAGATGTAAGGCTCGGTTGTTTTGCTTTTTGAGGTAGAAATTGATGATATTGGGTGCACGAGGGGGATTCAGGTTTGAAGTTGCAAAATGTTGCCAATTATAAAACATGTTTGTAAGTTAGATGCCAATCTCTACCTATATGACAAATTGTATCCAGTGAGGCAAGGCCAATAAACTCCGCTAGGAAGTTTAGCATGTACCGTATGTTGCGCTCCATAAGGCGCACTGGTACATAAAACGCAGGCAGTTTCTGTCACAGTTTCTGACAGAGGCTGCCGTTAGTGATCGCCGAGACAGGTGGCACTGTGATTACAGCGCCACGGTTGGTGGACTCGATCGCCGCCGCCGCTTAGTTTTAATACAAGTGATCTGAATAGATCACTTGTATTAAATGAGCAGTGGCTCCCATTGTACGTTTAGCTCTGCTTTAGCAGGGCTAAATGTACAATAAACTCCATAAGACCCACATGCATTTCCCCCCGCCTTTTGGGGGGACAAAAAAGGGCATCTTATGGAGCGAAAAATACAGTAGTTCCCATCTCATACACGTGCAGGCTCTTGAGTATCCACTGTGCCCAGTGTTTCTCCTAAAGAAGAGCAAAACACAACTCTCGTCCATGTTTGTAGATCTGGCTTGTCTGGTTGGATTTGAAGTGTCATCAAATGAAATTTTTTTTTTTTTTTTTTAGTTTTGGATAGGATAAGGGAGGGTTATAGCCCTGTCAGCTTTTCTTGCCATCCGTGTCCCATTGGGGGAGATTTTCTCTTAACTTCCTGTCCTATAGTCACAACAGGAAGTGAGAGAATATCCCTCCAAAGAGAGAGAAATCCCTGGTGGTCACCAGAACTAGTGTCATCGTCGGTAGATTTCCCTTCTATTCCTGTTCTGGTTACAATCCTAAATTTTGTGATTTTGTTTAACCCCTTCGTGACTGACAACGTACAGTGTACGTCGCCAGCATCGGGGCTGTTTAAACAGGCTCCCGGTGACTTTTGCCGCCGGGACTCTGTTTAAACTTGTAGAGCCGACTGTCGGCTTTACAACAGAAGCGATCCTGGTGACTTACCTGTCGCCAGATCGCTTCTG